CGTGCGCCACCCCCGCCCGGCCCTACTGGCTTCTAATCAGACTCCACTGCTCCCGCACTTTCTGAGCAGGAGTTGTGTTCTCTGACATCTTCTGAAGCTGCACTGTGGTTTTCCAGCCCAGCCACGTTGCCGATAGCACTTCTCTCCTCTTGAAAGGGCATACTCCTGTATCTCTTACCTGCTGAAATCCAATTCAGTCCTCATGGCCCCACTCACATTTCAGCGTGTCCTAAAGGCCTCTTTGATGGTTTGTGACACACCATGCCTTTAGTGATTGTCTTCTGTCCCTTTCTCAGTTGTAAGCACTCCAAGGGCAAACTCAATTGTAAGAGTCTTCTCATTTTTACTTATTTATCTTAATTGTACATATCTGGGGTGTTTTGCTTGTGTACATGGCTGTATTCCATGTGTGTGTCTGGTGCCTGCCGAGGCCCGAAGAGGCTGTCAGATCCCCTGGAGCTAGAATTACAGATGGTTGTGAGTCACCACGTGGGTGTTGGGACTCAAACCCGAGTCCTCTGGGAGATGAACCAGTGTTCCTAACTGCTGAGCTGTCTCTTCTGCCCCTTCTTATCATTTTATAGCACCAAGTGCGATTTTATAGCATCGTGCGTGCGATGTACAGGTTCAGCCAGTTGAGTCATAGGGTTTTCTGACTGACTTCAAGTGAGGGAAGAGCAGAGCTGTGAAGAAAGACCCTTAGCTCACAGAGGATGAGAAGAGTGTGATGACTGAAGTCCTTTGATTCTTGGAGCAAGAAGTGGTTAGAGAACTGTAACGAGCAACCGTGGGAATGCTGTGAGAACTTGAGATTTGTGCCCTGTGTGGAGGAGTCTGGAGTCCAACTAGAATGCTTCCTTCTTAGATCTAAAATGACGCCATTCGCCGGGCGGTGGTGGCGCACGCCTTTAATCCCAGCACGTGGGAGGCAGAGGTGGGCGGATCTCTGTGGGTTCGAGGCCAGCCTGGACTACCAAGTGAGTTCCAGGAAAGGCGCAAAGCTACACAAAGAGAAACCCTGTCTCAAAAAACAAAAACAAAAAAAGACGCCATTTTTTTGGTGTAATATGATTACACTTGATGTAATATGATGTGAGCTTTTAGATTCTACCTTGAGAAATTGTAGGGCTGGAGGAGGAGAGATGGCTCCGTGGTAAGAGTGCTGTTGCTCTTCCAGGGAACCCGAGTCCTGTTCTCAGCTCCCAGAGCGGGTGGCTTACAGCTGCCTGTAATCCCAGCCCCTGGGGATTCAGTGCCCTCTTCTGGCCTTCGGCACCTTTTACACATCCGTGGCTCAGGTGTGTGCGCTCGAGTGCAAACAAACAAACAAATACATAATCTTTTAAGAAGGAGCTACCTTATTTCTGAGGTGTTTGGACTGCAGGAACTCTAGAGTAGACTCTGGAGGACTTCGGAGCAGCACGACATTCGATGGCTGGATTTGTGTCTTTCCAGCTGTTTCCTGAAGGTGATTTCTCCGCGCTGGCCAGCTGCTGACCTGTCTGTGCTCTGTGTTCTGTTGCAGATGGAGTGGACGGAAAACAAGCACGCAGAACCAATTCCAGCACCCCTTTAGGGGAGCTTTTTGACCATGGCCTGGACAGTTGGTCATGTGTTTACTTTGTTGTGACCGTGTACTCCATCTTCGGACGCGGACCGACTGGCGTCAGTGTTTTTGTCCTTTACCTCCTGCTCTGGGTAGTTCTGTTTTCTTTCATCCTGTCTCACTGGGAAAAGTATAACACAGGCATTCTTTTCCTGCCCTGGGGCTATGACATTAGCCAAGTGGTAAGTACACGGTCTGCCCTGAATGCTCTGCATGTTTTGAAGTGTTCACTGCCCTTCTCTCTGTTAGGCATTAGCGAGTTAGGACTGAGGTGTGGGGCTGGAGGGGTGGCTCGGGAGGGTTAGAAGCACTGGCTCGTTTTCAGAGGTCCCAGGTTCAATGCCAGCACCTACATGGCGGCTTACAACTGTCTGTAATTCCAGTTCTAGGGGCTCTGATGCCCTCTTTTGGCCTCCCTGGGCACCAGGCAGTCGTGGTATACAGACATACATGTAGGCAAATCACACATACAATTTAAATTTTTTTTTAAAAAAATAAAGATTAAAAAAAAAGGAGAGAGAATTGATGCTGTAACATTTTCTTTTTCTGGGATGGAGATGTAACACAGTGCTGGAGTACTTGCCTGACATGTAAAAGTCCATAGGTTCTGTTCATTGGATTCTTTTTTTTTTTTTTTTGGTTTTTGGTTTTTGAGACAGAGTTTCTCTGTGTAGCACTGGCTGTTCTGGAATTCACTCTGTAGACCAGACTGGCCTTGATCTCACAGAGATCCGTCTGCCTCTGCCTCCTGAAGGCTGGGACTAAAGACTGGGCCACCCCCACCCAGCACATCATTGGTTTCAAACATACAAAAGAAAAAGGTGACAGTGAGCCTTCAGTGGACTTAGTCCTTAGCTTTGGCAGTTACCCACACATGGCCTCTAGCATCATGAATGCTGTCCATGTTTTCCTAATTCTCTTACAGGAAATGTGGTTAAGTATTTTGTAGTGTATCTCTAAATGATAAAATCTTTAAAAATGTTATAATTACAATGCCATTATTTATGTTAAAACTTAATAATTTCTTAATGTTCTTAAATATGACTTAGTTAGACATGTTGATTTTTATTTTGTGTTCTGGAGAAAGTGCCCGTAGGACTGGATTGCTGGCCATTTGTCCTTGCCGACTCCCTGGAGCAGAGAGCTTTGTCTTGGCGCATAGACCTGTCTTAATTCTCTGCCTTGGGCTCTCGGCTTCTTGTGCTGCGGTTTCTCCGTCTGCCCTAAGAAGCCAATAGAGAAACCGGAAGCTGGGTCCACGTGTTTGCTGATGGAGTTGGTTAGGTGGGCAAATCGAGTCCTCCTCCGACTTCACCGGTTTGTGAGCCGCCTTTGAAGGGCTCCAGATGGTGACCACTTGCCTGCATTGCCTACATGGCGGCTATTTAATGGCAGTGTTGCGGGGGAAGAAGACTTACCGCAGAGCAGATTTAAGCCCTTTTTAGTCATCACTTTGATTAGACTTAATGATGCGTAACGCACTGCTGGCTTCCTCGTTGATCAACTGTTGACGCCGCCTTGTTCTGTCTGTGTTTCCTTCCAGACTATTTCTTTTGTCTACATAGTGACTGCTGTGGTGGGAGTTGAGGCCTGGTATGAACCTTTCCTGTTTAATTTCTTATATAGAGACCTATTCACTGCAATGATTATTGGTAAGGAGCTCCATGTCGAAGCCTGTTCTAACCACCACTTTGTTACCCACCCAGAGCAGTGTGTGACCGTAGCAAGTGATAACGCTCTTTCCTTGTTCTCCACGGCCCTACAGGGTTTCCCCCAGAATGTTAGAGGCAACAAGGGGGGTTGGTCGTTGAGCAGCAGGCTTTTCCTAATCGGACAGAAATGCCAAAGTAGATCAGCACACAAGCTTTGTAAAGTTGCTCCCCCGTGAGGTCTGGACTGTATTGGAGGACCTACATTTAGTGGATTTCAAGTGAAAATTGTTCATTTGAAAGAGTAGATGAAATGTGGAGACTTTTATGAAAAATGAAGCCTCTCTTCTCCTTGGGTACCTTGGTGCTGTGTCGATGATCACTGGGGGTTTGGGGTGTGGTTGCCACTGTTATGCCCTGTCTGTTACTCCCTGCGAAGGCAGCCCGCACGGTGAACAGAAGTCACCACACCTGCTCCCACCTGTACCATCCCTCCTTTCCCAGGGGCTCTTGTCCACCCCATCACTTCAGCCCCATCTTTTTTTCTTTCTGTTTCTTTGAGGCAGGATTTTATGTAACCAAGCCCTTGAATTCCTGATCCTCCTGCCTCCGCCTCCCAAGTGCTGGGATTAGAGATGTGTGTTCCCATGCCTGGCTTCAGTGTCCATTAAAGCACATGGTGAATGTTTAAAAATGCCTCAGACGGTAGATGTTTCTAAATTCTTTACATTTAACATTTAACTATAAAATGTAGCAAACCTCCATGGGACAAGTGGCTTGATTGAGAGTCACTAAATGGCGGGAGAGGAAAAGTGACTTTCTCAAGGTTTAAAAAAACTAAATGAGCCACTTTATACCGATAAACATTTGGTAGATGAAATAGTGTTTTCTAAATGTGTGGCCCAGACCACGGAAAGGTCTGTGCCTATCAGCAGTTTCTAAGCTTTACGTAGTTTCTATCCTTTACCGAGCTGGAATAGGTAGGGTTGTGTTTCGATAAAGCGACAGATCAATAGCCTGTGTGTGTGCCTTTTGTGTTCATAGATCGATCGTTAGTGTTTTTTCTAGGACCCCAGAAGTGGGGTCTAGGGGACCCTTGCCTTTTACTGCTTCCCAAACCCCTCGTGCTGGCCTGTACACGGTCCGCTGTCCTCGCGATAGCTCCCTGGGCTAAGCCCAAAGTGAATGCGAGCACATCGGGAAGCACACCGTGTCTGGTCCCTGTTGTAACGATGAGAGGGATCGCGTATTGTACGTCAGTCCTAACGGTGTTGACTCTTCAGCTGGTGCTACCTGCAGACATTGCGGATCTTGTGTAGCCGTTCGTTCAGCAGGCAGCTAGGGGACTAAAGTTAGTTGATGATGAAAAGACCACGTCAAGTCCAAATGATGAGTGCAAAAGGAACTAACTGATAAGAAAGGTACCACTTAGAGTTGGGACACCTTTTTTGGATATATATACATTTAAATTTTACTTCAACTTATAAGGATTGGCTTTCTTTTGAAATTTATTCTTTATAGTTATAGAAAAATATTCATGATTACAAAGTAAAATGTATAAAGCAATATATTCAAAGAAGAATAGCTTTTTTTTAAAAAAAAAAAGATTTACTTATTTAATATGTATACAGTGTTCTGCCTGCAGGCCAGAAGAGAGCACCAGATCTCATTACAGATGGCTGTGAGCCACCATGTGGTTGCT